TCTCCCGATCACGTAGCTCAAGGAATTAGCCACACCTAGAGAATTAGTTCGTATTAGTGACATCCATTAGAGAGGAATTCATGTAATGGATGTCTTGATTTGCCTTGCAAGCAGCATCTGCTCTTGAAAGTCGCATCTTAATCGTTAATGTCATCAGATGCTGATGATATGGATTGACTATTGTGAACTGCTTTTTGCATCCGGTCAATGAAGATATAATTAGAAAAAGTTACGTCTCAATTCTTAAAGGTTATGCATTTTAGGAATTTGTTTTTGGATTTTAAGCTTCCTTTTTCCATTAGTTTAGGGCCTACTTTATTCTGTTTTTTTTTTCCTTTTGGCAACATTAAGGCTAAATGATCTCTTTTTTTGGCTGTGTATTCAAATTTATACTTTTTTTACTATTCCAAGTGATAAATGTTTTAGTATCATACTGGTATTGCAGAAGTTTAAAGTTTTTGGATCCATGCAGGAGTGTGATTATTTGAGAGCACTTTCTAGACCTCGGCTTCAAACTTCGACTGTCGTTGATGCTAAAACAGGGAAGGTAACCGCATATAGCTATCTATCTTCAATGCTATTTCTATAGCTCCATTTGTTAGCTTCTATTGTTTTTATTCAAAGTAGGCATTTCTCCCTAAATGATATTATTCCACCTAAAATTTAGTCATAATAAATTATGATTCAATGTTTAGGCAATTTTAGGATTGTTTTTAGATTTTATTTTACTTTATTTTTTAAACCTTCAATGAACTAAAACTATGTAAAATTAATAAAAATGAATATTTAAAATTCTTTTCTTATGGACCCTATCCTTTTGTTATGTCAATGTAGTCCCAAGTAGGAATGTTGTTGAATCAAGCTAGCTTGGACTTGGCTTAATAAATGGCTGATGAATGAAGCTTAATGAGCTAACGGATAAAGCTTGAGCCACCCCTAATTTGATTTGTTAGGTCGCGGGCTAGTTGTTTAAAAAATATTAATATAAAATATGCTTAATTAAGTAAGATTCAAGATTTTAAGTTCAAATTTAAAAATATTCAAAAATTATTTATCACTTTCTTATACGAAGTGATTTCTTATTATTTTTCTTATATCATTTTATGACAATATTTATCCAAATTAAAATTATTTTCTTTATCATAATAAATGAGTTGTCTTAAACTCAGAACTCGGCTTGAGTTTGAGCTTGAACTTGTTTAATTAAAGAAGCTCCAACTCAAGTTAGGGGTGGCTCGAGTTTAGCTCGACTTGTTTACACTCTTAATTCTAGCATAACACTTATTTGGAAATGCAATGTCATGTCACTACATGTTGCTAAATTTCCATACATTTAAAGCTTTTTTTGAACACACATCTTTTTTATCAATCTTGAGAAGTGCCGACACCTACCCGATAAGCTTAATATGATTCATTCAGCATAGGCTAGTCTACCTTGGATTGAACACAAAGTTTTAGATGTCTTTGAAGCAACATTTTCTTGAAGGCCTTTAGTTTCAAAGGGCTAATCTTGATTTTTGAGTGGCACATCCCAAAGCTCGGTAATTTTCTTGAGGTGATCTGGTATGCCAAATATTTAAATGGATCTATCCTTAAGCTAAATTTGTAGAGGCACTTTTAAAGTAATCTAAAATGTCTTTGATGTGGTACTTAGAAAGATACTTTGATAAAAAAATCATCAATATAGCACTCTATTGGCTTGTGTGAGCTTGTCAAAGATGTAGTTCATAGCCTGTTGGGAGGCCGAATTGCATTGTTTTCTGACATGAAATATTGATGAGTGCTTAAAAGGTATTATGTTTATTATCTTTTTACACCATCAGGATTTGTTGTATATTTGGATGATTTTTTTATTAATTAGAACATGTCATGCATAGCCCATTGTCGATCATAAGCTCTGTTATAGGCAACATGTAATCATCCTTTAAGCATGCCTTTTTTTTATTCCAAAAGTGCAACATGTAATCATCCTTTAAGCATGTCTTTCTTAGATTCCAAAAGCTATGCATGCATAGGTATGATGCTTGGCTTTATGAATTCTTCATTTCAGTGATTGCATTTTGTTCAATCTTCGATTGCATTCTTTGTAAGGGTTTGCGTAACATGGACCTCCTTACGATGTTGACGAGTTTGTGTAATGCCATTTGAGGTTTTAATCTTTGCATTCCAAGTTCAGTATAATCCGAAGAGCTTCTTTAATATCTTGGTTTCATTGTTGGGAAGCAATACTTGATGCAGGCAGAAGATGGTTCTTCTTTTGATCCGAAATTGATCTTTTTAAGTTATGATTCATGGATAGCAGCCTATTTGTCTTTTTCTTGGAACATTCTGAATTTTTTGGTAAATAAGCTTGTGCCTAGTTTGTCTTATTTGTAGGTGTTGGCCAATTCAACAATCCTTATAATGAAAAGATATGTATTTGTGATGGATGTTTATCATTGATGTAACCAAGGCCTCAACTTTCAACTGCTTAATTTTTGGAAATGACTCTAGACTTACGGCGCCACACATTTATTCAAATGGTTGTGCCCATTTGTCCGACCTTTTTTAGGGTTTCTTCATTCTTGTTCCATATTACTTTCAACAGTGTCCAAGATGTATCGGTAAATTGGTGTCATTCTTGTTCCAGAATATTAAAGTATCACATTTTTTGTGTTGTCTGTATAAATTCAAGAAGAGCATTTTCAATTTTATTGTTGCAACATTTCCTATAACTGATAGTGTGGGATCAGTGCCGCCGACATAATCTCCTTGAAGATCCATAGGTTTAACATTTGAGCTATGATCACATGTAAGGTGTCATTAGTACTATAACAATAAATTTACATTTAAAGAAGGCTTTGACGTGGGGCGTTGTTCCGCAGGATCGCGGGATCTTGCATATCCTTGGAGCGCAATAACACCTGTGATCTTGGGTTCGAGCGGAGGCGGCAAATACCGACTTCCAATTTAGCCTTTTATTTTCCTTTCCTTGTTGATTTCATTCATATTCATCTATTTTCTAATTAGATTTTTCTATGAGGGAACTATTTCTATATTATTATTTTCTTTTTTTAGGAACTTGATTTGATTTGTGTTTTTAGAGATTTTATCTTTGATTTTCACCATAATGGAGTTGTGTGGATTTTCCTTTCGCAAGAAATATGTATGTAGCTTGTGCAGGAATAGGTGGTGAACCTCCTCGCCGCCCATACATTACTGATTTAGAGTTCTGTTTGCTATTTTTCAGTCGGGACAGCCATTAGATCTGCGTCCATCTGCTAGTCACAATAGAAAATCGTCATTTTATTTCTTCCGATTCGCTGTCCAATCGCCCATACCTTGTCGATACGTTGTTGGACTGTTGTTTTCATTCTGGACAGTTGTCGCACTTGCCCTACCTATTGCCCAATAACAGATTTTTCTCTTACATCCTTCCCAATAACATCGTCAGACTCACCTATTATCTTCCCCTTGTCATTCCACAACCACCTCTCCGCAAAAAACACTTTTTAAACATCTTCTAGGTGCCCTAGAACGGAATCGTCTAGTCCCTAATTTTTTTCTCTCAATTATTTCTATATCTATCATACCTAAATCATTTATACCGCAATTTCTAACCTGAACCCTAAATTTTCAAAATCCAACCCCCTACCTTCACCTAAAATTTGCCTTGACACTTGCCAGCAATACCCTAAATTTCACCATTTTTTTATCTACAATCCTGCACCTATGAAAACCTTAATTGATAGAAAGAGACAATACCGCCTAGGATAAATCTATATAGAGATGTCTAGGAGCTTGTTATGGAAGATATACAGCGAAAAATCATTCAACTGCAACAAAGCCTTGCTCCTTTGAGAGGATAAAACTCGAAGTGGTCACTCATAACCACAATGGTGACTCACCATATCGAGAGAAGGAATTGGATCTCTTTCATCAGACAGTTTTCAATAATCAAGAACCAATACCTTGACGATTTGACATGGAATATCAGGCGTGATATCGGGATTTTGGAGTAAAGGTAGATTTACTAGATTTTAATAGTTGCATGGATTCAGACGAGTTTGTCGGGTAGCTATAAATAATGGACCGAATTTTTTAGTACAAAGATGTTCCCTGGGATAAAATATTTAAATTAACAGCCATCAAGCTCAAAAAAATGCTTTCTTGTGGTGGGAGAATCTGAAGCATCTTCAACAGTGAGAATGGAAGAGTAAAATTATTGCCTTGTTCAAGATCTCTCAGTAGAAGAATACACCGTTGAGTTCGAGCAACTTATGTTAAGGTGTGATCAAGTGGAGCCTGAGGATAACACAATAGCTCGATATCTGAGGAGATTAAGATCATCCATTGGCACTATGGTCTAGTTACAACCCTGTTGGACACTACATGATGTTCATACCCTAGCCCTGAAGGTGGAGAGACAACACAATAGTATCAAATCCACACCTCCTTTCAAATAGGGTCAATTATTAGATTAAATAACAAGTTTACACCCATTGGAGCGTTCCAGACAGCCCAGCCCGAGGAAAAATTAGTTCAGAGTGGAGAAAAAAATGAAGACAACTAATACTCCCATATCCGTCCTAGCCAGGAATTACTTCAAATGCTATGATTTTGGGCGTAATGCTCCTGATTGCCTAAACAAAAGGGTAATATCTTTCACTCAGTAGTGTACAGTGGAGAGGCAAAGGGTGAAGTCCTTGAGGAGAACGGAGAGGAGTACTAGCTTCAGTTGATGAGGGAGAGATTTTAGTGATTCAAGCTAAGTTCATGAGAGATACTACAACAGGATTAACATTGGTAGTCCAAAAAAGTAGTGAGTTTGAGGTAATTAGTGTTAATCAAGAGTTTGAGGATGTAGAGTCACAAACAACTTTTTTGCAGTTGTTAAGTGGAGTATCAACAAGAATGACTTTGGTTCCAAGAGTGTCATGAGTTTGAGGAGCCGATATCAATCACAGATAATCTCAGATAAGAGAATTTTAGGATTTTTAGACTTACAATTTACCTCCTAAGCTGTTACTAATGAGGATAATCCAACATGTCATCGGTTTAGATGATGATAAGAAATTTGTGAGTTTTTTTGGAAGACTAGGGAATAACCTGAGTGATAAGTTTCGGTTGAACTCACCGACAGATTGTCATAAAGGAGCGGTGAACCACGGCTTTGGAACTTTCTTTAAGTGTTTTATGGAAAAGAACATCTGACAGTGGGATCTAGTTTCTTTCAGAGAAGAAGAAGAAGCTTCTTGTAGCCTTGGAGAATGATGTGGGGTGTTTCTCCTTAGGATCGCAAGATCCCGGGTATCCGCGAAGCGCAATAACACCCGCGATTGTGGGTTCAAATGGTGGTTGGGGACATCGACTTCAAATTTAACCTTTTATTTTCTTATTGATTTATTCATATTCCTCTTTTCTTATTATAATATGAGAAAACTATTTATAACTTGTTTTTTTAAGATACTTTTTATTTGATTTGTGTTTTAGAAATTATATTTCTGATTTATACCCTAATTGAGTGTTTTATCATTTTTCTTTCGTAAGTAGTGTGTTTGTAGCTTGTGCAGCATTAGATTATAAACCTCTTCGTCTGAGCTTCACATCTTTATAGATGTCCAGCTCTTGTTATATCCATGTTGTATAGTGCTTAATGCCATCATGCATATAATTTATGCACTGATGAAGATGAGATTATCTCGTGCTTGTGCAACCGTGATTGTTTCAAAGAACTCAGATTGAAGGGTTGACATCTTTAATATGAAGCTTGGCCCTTGTTCTGATGACATTGAATCGGCAGAGGAGAGCTAACTAATCTATAATCTTTTGATCTTTTTTATATAATCCGCTTAACATTAGTTGATATGAACTTTAGATCTATCCACTAAGTATGTAGTTCCTTCTGTTCTTAATGTTTATGATATTAGCTGAAGTCGCAAGATTTTATTGTGATCTTGTTAAGATTTGGCCCATTCACATTGGTTGTGGCTTTAAATCTGGTGATTGTGCTCTATTGTTTAAAGGAGCGGGTCTTCATTAGTGAAGTTCACGCTAGGATATTCATCATTTAGAGGGTCTCTTTATTTACTTCTTCCACAAAATATGCCTTATAGATCTCCAAGTTGAATTGGGATTTTATGAGTATCTCCCTCAGTTTTGGTGACATCATTAGAGCATTATGGATATTGCGTGAGGAGAACCTTATCAAATGGGAAGAACATTATAGTGGACCCTGGTTAATGTAACTTGCTTTCAGGTGGGAAAACTATTCTTTTTTTTTTTCTCTTTTATCTTTAACTGTGACTTTTGTATCCATGTTGGCAGATCTTCCTCTAAATTGCAAAGGATTCAGCAAATTGGATTCTTGGTTGAAATTGATTGTTCTTCAAACACGACCTGGATAGCTCGAGTCAATTATCTCCAAGTCTCTTGGTTATGTTATAGTGACATCATAGTAGCGGGTGTTGCTTCAAATGCAGAATGTACCCATTTCACATACAGGCATGGACTCTTTTTCTTTTCGGTATTTAAGGAAGATTGATTTCATTCTTGGAGTGAACATGCCCTATTGTATGGGACACCATATAACAAGCTTTTTTTGGAATTTTATTTTGTTGGGGGTAAAATGATCGAGATAAAAGAAGCCAACAACATTGAAACTTGCATATAGACGCTCTCTCAACACATTTAGTAATCTATCTGTAATGACCACTTTGCTTTTGGACTTTCTAGGCTTTTAACCAACCTATTGCTAATCCTCTTCAATCTTGATAATTAGGGTAAGTGCAACTTTTTTTGACGACTCTTAATTGTTATTTAGTTATCACCGGATCCTTCTACTTGACATTGAGAGCATGCTTTAGCTGTCGAATCATCTTTTTTGGGTTTTGGAACAATTAGAGACCCACCAGTCACCTTTTCTTGACGCTGATGTTTCAACTACAACTCCTAGTAAATCGAGGATTCCATCCTGAATTTCATATCTCCTTTCTCTGCATGTATCAAGAATTTATGGGAAAACTTTGTCTTCCATCTGATATTTGTTTTCCCCAATCCTCAATGTTTTACTAATCTTCAATCAAGTGGTTGACACTTCCATGGTATGGTAGTAGTTGGGCTCACCGATCTTGCCTGCATCATCTGGTTGCTTAGGTCTAGGGATTTGAAGGCCTTTTTTCACTTCTTAATCAGGTTTTTGAATTTTTCTGCACCCATCTTTCCCCCTAGACTTAGCCAAATTTAACCAATTTACTTAATTAACCCAACTATGCTTGGGAAACTGTTGTAGGTTGGGCCACAGTCTGATTGTGAAAATTGGCATGGCTAAGCTCAGTCCAATACATTAGTCTTAATTGACCATCATGGATTGGCTCAAAGGGGAATTTGGAGGCAGCCATAGGTTGAAATATGCCTGGATGGGACCAATTTGGCTTGGGCTAGTGGGCCAAAGCTAAGTCCAGGTCCAATTTATTAAGCTGGGTTTACCCAGGTAAAATTCAGAATGTACATGGACTTAATTGATTTTGGCGAGAGTTGATTGGCATGACTGGTGGTCATTTGAGGCTCAATTGTACCGCTAGGTTAGCCGAAGATAAAAACACATCTTTCTTTTTTGATGTACACGAAACATCTTTTTTAGGTCATTTACATAACATACCACGTAATCACTATTTTGGATCATTTGCATCCATAAAAATAATTCAGATGTATTTACATATCTAACACCTAAACTTTAGTTTTTACATCTATAACACTCAAAAATTTTCAAAGCACATGAAAAATACCACTATTAATTTTTAAAAAGTGAAATATACTTTTTCATGCATAGGCACATATTATAAATGTAAAAATGAAAGTTTAGGTGTTATATATGTATTTACATAGGAATTGTGTGGTATGTACTTAAATCTTCCTATTTTTATTAGTGCTTGTAGCTCAAATAAAGTTTTGGTAGTAGCTAATATAACTGTGCATTGGCTGAAGATGCCTTCTCTTCTACTGTTGTATAGAAACCGCCAGGAGAATGCCTGTCTACAAAACTTGTGCCCTTCTTAAAATCTCTTACGTATATTGCTATATGCGTTACTATATATGTTTTACTTATTGTCTTTATGTAACTGTTTTGACATCTTCAGGGAGTTAAGAGTGAAGTACGTACGAGTTCTGGCATGTTTTTGAGATCAGAGGAGAGAAAATTTCCCATTATTCAGGTTAGCTTTAGTTTCAAGGTTTTCTTTTTTTGTCTTGATTTTACAGTACGTTTTCTTGTGCATGAAAATGTTAATGCTAGCCATGTAAAATTATACAAGCTGTAATCAAATTTAAAATTATATAAACCTAGTAAAGCCATTCTATAACTATATTCGTTGAATCTAAAGCCTAGGCTGTTCGAGTTTTATGTTTATTAGCTTTATCCTCTGCTGCATTACTTTGTGGCTTTTTAATCAGAGGATAGTATCTGCCAATGAGTAATCCATACATACACGGTCTCGTGAGCTTGAAGATTCACATCTCAATATGCTATTTTACTGTGGTCCAACTCTAAAAAAGGAAATCACCGTGCCTCAAAAGTAATGTCTTTGATAAACTAAAAAATTTGCTGGAAAAAAAATTGTCTGTTGGCTCCAGATGTTTCTTAACATGTTCTCCACTACCTTCCCTTCATACTGTGTCGTATTCTGGAAAATCAATTTATAATGATACAGTTAGGTCTTTTGTGTCGGACACATCAAATGTTAGCTTCTTAACAATTTTTTAAAAGTCCTTTTATCATTTATTTGAGTCCATTTCTTAATAAGAAGCTAACAGGATCAATTTGGTTTTAATGGCTGGAAACCGAGCGCAAGTATCATACTGCTAATAGGGACATATGGGATTAAATTGAAGGGATGGACATGTAAGCAAGCTGCCAGAAACTTAGGTTATATTTACTTAATGTATCTGTGGCATTCAGTTTTGCTTCTTTATGGATCTTTAGTTGTTTTAGTGACATATAAGTTAAAGCTTTGACTTTGATGGACTGATAAACGAGACACCACAAACCTTAGGGATCTACTTTTTATTTTTTATTTCTGTATCCGTGATTTCTCATTTGCTTAGTTATAATTGCGATGAATGTTATGGAAAAGATGTTTTCTATTACCTTAATTTAAACATTCTTTCTGGTTAGGCTATTGAAAGGCGGATCGCCGTTTTCTCTCAAATACCTGCAGAAAATGGAGAGCTTATCCAAGTTCTGAGGCAAAATTCCAAGGCTACTTTTTTTCTTTCTTAGACATTATAAGCATGTTCTTTTTTTCCACAGTACATTCTCGAGTAGTCAGACTTTTTTTCTCTATTACAGATATGAAGTCGGTCAACAGTACAGGCCACATCATGATTACTTCTCTGACTCTGTAGGTTATTTAATAACCTCCAGTTCTAAATTCCCCCCTCCCTTTTAATTTATTAAATGTTTCTGTCGAGCATATCATTTGAATGCAGTTTAACTTAAAACGTGGTGGGCAACGTGTAGCAACAATGCTGATGTATCTAAACAATGACGTTGAAGGGGGTGAAACACATTTTCCTATGGTGAGTTAATTCCTTTGGTTTTGCTTAATATATTACTCACTCTGGTTCTATAAAGATACTTTCCTTTGTTTCCTGTTTCTTTCAATATCTTAGAATCTCTTGTTTCTTCAACCTTCAGTGGTAAAGGAAATTGTATATTCAACTTTGCTGTGAATTATTCCATATATTTGGCGAGTTTAGTATCATTATTAGTTTTTGATGATGGTTTTGCATAACTTAATGTTGGAGAGAGTGAGAGGAGAGAAATTTAAATATAATATTAATAAAGGGATTACAAAGTCCTTTATAAGGGGAGGGCTACAAACCCTCACCTGTTACATTTTCAACAAAGTAATCCTATGTCAACTTTCATTCAATGATTATGGTATTTATGAAAGTACAAAGCATAGCATTTGAAGAGATAAGAAAGGGCCTTAATACAATACATAAATGATAATTTAAATGCATGTTTTCTTATTCTTCGACTACTTGTCCTTTGATCTTCTATGGTTCGTGAATTGAAACTGAAGTTCATTTTCTCCACGCATAAGACGGTTGATTTTAAGTGAATTTTTCAAGGCTACTCAAAATATTCAAGAGAAATTACTTCAATGTTTACCCAATTATTCAACAATACTTACACATTTTCTGAAGTTTTGGCTACCTCATGTATGGCTCATGAAACGTAGCAAATACATTTTTCTAAGTTACTTCAACACCGCTCCAAATATTGTTAGAAACTTTATAGAGAAGGTAATTGAAGAACACTCCTAATATTTATAGAGAAACTACTTCATATTTATACCATTTTTTTAACAGTACTCTTCATTTATTCAAGCATGTTTTGGCCATTTTATGCATTGCTTATGAAAAGTAGCAAGTACTTATGTAAGTAAGGCATCTCTACGAACATTTTCATTAATTGATACATCAAGCGGCTTATCATTAAAATAGATAATTATCCAAATATTAAGAATAACTTATAAATATATATTAGAAGAAATGAGTTGTCTGCATCACTTAAATTCTGTGAAACACTTTTCTTCTCTCATGTTGTGAGATTACTGCTAATCAATGATTCAAGAAGTTTACTACTTATTGCTGTATGGTTGCTTGTCCAGCTTAATGAGGTGCACTTTCTTTACCTAATATGCATGGCTCTATTTTGCATAATTGATGGGGCCAGATAAGAGAGAAAAATAGTGAAGGGGAAAAAGAATTAGTCTCAACCGAGATGGGATTAAGAATGTGCAGCAACACATTTGTGAGATATCATTTCTATCTTCAGAAATTTTCTATTGCTTTCCTTAAGTGGTCTACTTATAAGAGATGACATTTAGGACTTACATTGCAACATTAGAATGTCCAAATATCCCTAGGTCACATGTAAGTGCAATTTCTAGTAGCTGAACCAAACATGGATGAGGTGTCGGTACAATGATGATCAATGTGCAGAAATTTTCCGAAGGCAAGAAAAACTCGCCTTTTAAGAGTGAGGGCAATGGTCGTCATGAGAAGTTTAGGCCCCGTTTGGTATCACTTTGTTTTCTGTTTTTGCTTTTATTTTCACTTTTATTTTTTAAAACTTGTTTGATTAGTATAATTTTTATATGTTTTTATTTTTCATTTCAAAAAGTAAATCACCTTATTTTTAAAAACACTTAAACACCTAAAAGATTTGTAAAATATTAGGCCATCGTACACTACATCTCCATAATTTTCTTCTTCAGTATCATCAACTTCACAGAGATCTCATTCTTGGGCTATGTTGTGTTGTGGGCATCAGTTTTAACATAGCCTTTTTTATTGAATGAAGTGCTATTATTTGGGGTTTTGTTGTCAGAATTCCTTCTTTTAGTGATTCACAAACCATTAGGTGGCTTAAAGATTGTTGTGAGCTGTTCATGAAAGAAAGCTAATCAATGGGTGCAATAAGGTTTTAGCGACACCTATAGATCTCTAAAGCTAGATGATGAGCTTCTTCTAAGGTTTTAGTATTATTGAAGTTCATTTTCCTTCTAATTTCTTGTTTTAAATCAGTCATGCATTTCTCATTATGACTATTGGTTACTCTACTAAAATAAATTGGGTGATAAAATCCTCAAAATGATTAAGGTCCTTAGATATTAATAGTGTCATGTTTTAAAGTCAACAAGTATTCCATTAGTTATTTATAGAATCAAAAGTTCTATAATTGTCTCTTGTGCTGGTGCCTTATTTGAGCCCAAGTTGTAATTGGCAAGCTGGAATAACAATCAATTTCACTTAAGACACATAACCACTGTTTTTTGACCAACACATTTAACTTCACCTTTGTCAATCAAATCTGTTAATGATTGGACATATTTTTCCTTTTGGAAAAAAGCCTTGTAACCCAAGAAAGCATTAAGATCATGCTTACCATTGAATGTGCGTGCATCAACCTTTTCCCTCTTGAAAAACCATGATTATCAACCTCATGACAATAGTATTTTTGCTATATATAGCCACACATGTACGCGCACAATGTTGACACTGTATATAATGTTATTACTTCTGAAGGTCTTCAATTAGTGAAGAATGATGAGGGAGCTATTCGATGCTGTTCATGTCTGTCTTTATGTTCACCATTAGTTGTCTGAAAGTCAACATTAGAAATGTTCACTAATTTACAGTTAATCTAGTGTTCCAAACTTACACCATGGGCTCTTGTTCCTAAATTTATCTTCCCTGGCCCCCCTTTTTTGTGTTTTATTCACTTTTCCTTTTTTTTTTTGTGTTTTATTCACTTTTTTATTCAACCAGTTTTAGCAAAATTTTGTGGCCCACAGTTGAATTCAGCCAATAAGATAAAGCTATAGATTCTGCGATATGCCATCGTAATTATTGATGCTAAAGTTCAATTGCATACAGTAATTTCAATTCTCAAGCGCATAGTTCATTAATAGTAAATATCAGAAATTTCCCAGAATTAGGTCATGTATAAATCATATAATAATAGAAAATATGAAATAGCTTAATCAAACGAAGTTTTCTAGTCTAGAACTATCTGCTACCAAATTTTTGGATGGGATTTATGTTAAAGCTTAGAGAGAGATCGCTATATTATAGTGGAGCTTCCCAAACTTTGAACTTATAGATGACATAGGACTCCTCAAATATAGAAATCTAATCATGGCATCAATAAAAGCTCAATATGTCAATCATGGGGTGTGATCGAATCCCTGCTCTGGCAACAATTACAACATAGTATTGTCTCATTTTTTAAATACGGACTTTTACAGCATTGATAGTGAAGCTACTGGCATTGCGCTGTGATGCCCTATAGTGAAATTTCTGCAACTATCAAGTGGTCAGAGCAGCTGCAGATGCAATTTCTTCTTCTGGAATTCAAATTTTGATAACATTAATAAAACATTTTTTGGGCTCACTGGCTGAACTGAGGAGGAGGCTGGATGTATGGGAGTAAATGAGTAGAGTCGTGCTCAAGCCACTCTTGACTTGAGCTTGATTAATTAATCAAGTTTGAGCTTGAGCTCGAGTTTAATTTTACGAGTTTGAGCCGACTTACGAACTGGCTTGTTTATTATGAAAAAGAGAAAATAAGATTAATTCAAACCATTGCTATAATAAAATGACATAAAATGAGCAATTAGGGGATAAATTATAAGAAATCTCTTGCTATAAAATATAAAGTATTATTTTTTTTAACATTTTAAAATTTTAAAAATATACCCTCAAATTTAATATATTTGAAGTATATATTATATTAATATTTTTTAAAACGAGTTAGCTCACGTAATAATTAGTCGAGTTTGGTTGGCTTGAGTTTGGTTTGTTAGCTTATCAAGCTCAGCTCACGAGTTACTTATCGAGATGAGTCTAAGCCGGCTCATGAGTCTGCTTGGCTCAGTTACACCCCTAGGCGTGTGTGTGCTATTCATTGTTGGGCTTAGATAGAGTTAGGCTAACTGGGAAGGGTTTGTAACGCTTTTGCCTGTAAGTCAAGCAGCAACGGAAACCTGGATGTAAAACAAAAGGTCGTTCTAATGAGCAGAAAAAAATTTAGGACGCAATTGTGAGGAAACTAAGAGCATGCAGAAATAGCAAAAGAAAAACCTCTCTCTGAACATAATGAACAAAAAACTATCGATAGAAAACTTTAGTACAAGATTAAGCACTGAATCAAAAAGAATAGGTAGGGAGAAGAAGTTGGTCTCAATCTGGGAGGGAAGATAGTCTATACCTTGGTTATCAGTCATCACTCGTGTCCCATTCCTTTCACTATATCTATTATTAAGAGATGACCTGTTGATAAGTTTAGAATTTTAAGTAGCCCTAAGGACATGTAAATACAATTGGAAATTATAATAGGCATTTGTCATTAATATTCAATTAGCCCTTTGGGCATGCAAAAAAAAAAATCATGTCTAATTACTCTTAAAATAATGCAAAATATGCTAAAACATGAAATCGATCCAAATACATAAATAAGGAGAAATGACCCTAATTATCTAGAATCGTTTCGATTAAGGTGATGATATTTGACACTGTCCATAGTATGTAGGCTGAGATCTAGAGGATGTGATTATCATCAATCTATATCAATCACTGCATTGAGATCATTATCTTTATAGTTCCTAATATTACTCGTTTTGTTTTTTTGTTTTGTTTTATTTATTTATTTTTGGTAAGAATACTATGCCATTTATAGCTTAATTCATGGTGTTCTTGCAAATTTATGGTACTTGATGTGTTCAGAACTGCACAATAAGTCATGGTTACGTCTGGCACTCTGTATGGCTAATGCTTTTTATTCTTCGCATATTGGATTGTAATTATTAAGTGAATATGTTGGGCTGTGGTGTGGTGTGTTTGTGCATCGGTAAGTAAGTTTTGGAAAAAATAAATCAACAATGTTGTGAAGAAAGATTACTCCATCGGTACTTGCTGTAAAGCCTTGCCATTGATTGATTTAACTTTGAAATGCAACACTCTTCCCATAAGCATTTTTCGCGAATATTTTTATCTAATATATATATATATATATATATTTTTTTTTTTTTCTAATGGATTTTTAAAACCCAATTTTCCTTTTCTTCGGTGACTATTTATAAAAAGCCTTATATTTCCTCACCCTAATCTGATTCTCATTTTAGGCCGGAAATGGAAAATGTAGCTGTGGTGGAGACATCGTAAGAGGGATTTGTGTAAAGCCGAAAAAAGGAGATGCTGTACTATTTTGGAGCATGGTTTGTATTTCCCTTCTTTTGACCACTGTTGATTTATTAAGAAAAAAAATATTCACTTAATAATTACAATCCAATATGCGAAGAAAAAAAAGAGAGATGTTGTACTATCCGGATGCTATGATATGAGTCTGGGTCATCCTAATGCACCTAATAATTCGAATACCACACCCACCCTACACTCAGGGACTTTCGAACCCCATACCAGAGATGACTTACAACTAACAAGCAGATGTCCGATCAACTGATCTGAGTACGCGGCGCAAATATATATATATATATATATATATATATATATAAAGACACACACACACATACATACATACAGTTTACTCCAAAGCTTCTAATCGTTTTTTTCACCTCACCAATCTTTCCAATATCCTTTTAACATAAGATCAATAAAATGTGCCGCACATAGATATATGCATCTTTTTCTCCATTATCAATTGACCTAAATAAAAAAAAGTGTTGAAAATCTTTAATCTTAAGAAAACTAAAATATATATACATTTAGTTGCAAATAAAATAAATTATAGACATAGAAGTCCTAGAAGAAGATAGCTGAAATATTATTTGTAACCACTTAAAGCTCATTATTTTCTCCAATTTTTTACGAATTTAAAGAGTTTCACGGTAATTTTTGAATATTCAAAATATATATATGACTTTTAAGAAAACAGTGTCTAAAAATGAATTAACCAAAAAATTAATAATGGATCGTTCTCTACGATCACTCCATCCATCAAACATAAGAGTGCATCCATTCTCTTTCGAATTTTTTTATGATCTTTCGTGTCATTTATAATTGACTGTAATTCCTTTTCAAGTAAAAGAATTCTTAACTCATGATAAGATGGTGGTTGAAGGTCTGGTCCATACTGATTATCTCAAACATATGATCAATACTCTCCAACTTCAATACATTAAAAGGAATTCATGATTGATAAAACCAGCTAACAGTGTATTATATAGTTTGTTGTCTGATACTCTTATCGACATTTTCTTTAATTCTCATTTGCCTCATATTTTTCTCTTCTAGCAACTTCTCCTTCAGGTTTCTTATATAGAAAAAGTATGCATTGGACATCTTATTTTAAATATGTTACTGTTCTCAAATGCTCTTTTGCCACAATGTAAGGGCGGTTGATATTTTTTTCAGTTATATCAACCACCTCATTGTCTTTCATATAAATACATTTTTTTTATTTACTTACTCCCTGATAAATAAGCCGCTCCTCTCTTACATCAGAATGTACTTTCTTACTCCTCACAGCAATTACTTCTTTTGATGTATTAGAAGAACCAATCAAGTGCTCATTGGCTCGAGATATACCCTGATTTATCTCATTACCACAATAAATACATACATGCCATGAAGTCAGTTCAAATTTCAATTCGATATATTTCCAAGTTAGATCTTTCTTCCTTGTTCGAATAAGTCATACATAAATTCTTTTTTCATATACACAAAAATAAGTAATTACAATTTATACATTTTCATATACTTCAAATATGCATGTAAACATGAACATCAATGAATACATTTTTGAAAATAATCCGATCGATGGCCTAACAAAATTCAAACATCAGATCACAAAATCACCACAAATAATCAAATGGATTCTACCATTTACAATGATTGAATCAGCTAAAACTATATCATTCATACATAGGGGCGTAAACGAGCTCGTGTTCGTCTTGTTTGCTTAGCGAGCGGAACACGAGCCGTTCACGAACAAAGAGTCATTTTGATAACTCTAATCATAGCCATAAGATGTCAAGGATTAAAACAAGATTTAAAACATCATTTGAATCTAATTTAATAATTTTTATTCTATTTTCTTAATTAATACTTTTAATTGGTTATAAATCTTTGTAGCCTTGTAGTCAATTATTTTTTTTAAAAGAACTATTCATCAAATATATATATAATTGACTGTTAGTATTTCGAGCCAAAACAAGCCAAAATGAGCTGAACACGAGCTTCTTAAGGAGCCATTTTGACAGCCCTATTCATACATCAACAAAGGGTAGTCAAGAATACCAATAATCAAATAATTTTCAATGGGGAAAAGAACGTTGGAATAATTCCTCGTTCCTGATAGTGGGATAGTACGATAGAACATTCCTCTTCTAATCTGCCAAAAACTATCATAAGAAAGGATTGAAGAGTATTACGAATTCAATCCCTTAAGTTTTGAGGGAAATATTTGCTGGCATCCAAAGGCTGCTTTCTGGGAGCCGCCGAGTCATGATGATTGAAATTGTCTGCCGCATTCATGGGAGCAAATGCTGCAACGTTTAAGAAGAAATCAAGTAAGATAGCAGATTTTACAGATGTTCCAGAGATATATTTATCAATAAAAAATTTTTGATGATTTGTGCTGATGGTAAATTGAACGGGTGATTACATGCATAGAACCCGAATCATTGTTATTTAAAAATCTAGCATCCACTTTCATCCATTTTTCAAATTCTCTCTCAAATATCAAAATTCATGATAAAACCCCAACCTATATGTTTCATTTTTAACAGAATCTCAATGGTTTGATCATGGAATGTGTAAATGCATCCTTTCGATGGTTAAAAAATATCACCTGGGTGTTAGATTTGTAAATTGCAATGTTTCGTGTGCTATGTATGTAATTAATCACAAAACAGCTTCAATATGTTGTAAGAAGAACCATGGAATTAAACTAACTACTGTCAAAATAGAGATGCTTCAATCAACAACCAAAAAGTTTGGTGCAGTTTATAATTTTTTTTAGGATGCCTTATTTTTGAAAAGGAAGTTTTGCAGTTCAGACAATCTTCATAATTCATAATAGCGATCTTTGGGCAACCAAGCCCAATAATAACTGAAAGTTTGTTAGGCCAATCATTGTTTATGCAAGCTGATGCGTAGCACAAGAGATGCATGAAAAAAATATATATATTCTAGATTTTGTATAACATTTTATTCTCTAGAATTATTTTGAAATTTTTTACAATTTTGTTTTTAATGCAAGGATTATATTTATTTTTAGTTAATTGATGAAAGTTTTAGAAGTAATATAGATTTAAATTAAAATTAAATTAGTATTATCTTATAATCCTATCTCTGTAAACACAGTTGAATGAAAAGTATTAGGATTGTCAATGAAAAAAGAAATTAAAAGGCTCCATCCATTCTCTCTCTCACCACAAATTCAACGCCTTGCATGGCTATCGACAATGCTACCTCAAATGAACTGTATAATATGCAAGCAAGCCCATCATATGAATTATTTCGAGCCAAAATGAGCCCAAAATATGTGTTTGTGTTCGGCTTGTTTATAAATAGAGCTAAAAAAAATTATTAGTGCATAACTCACTTGCTTAACAAACAAATCGAACACGTGGTTCGCAAATGACGAGCTCTTTTGACAGTCCTATACACCATCACATAATCAAAATCAAATGCTCAGCGGCAAATCTCATAAAATTATTTTTGCCTTATGTTTGCATATGGATTTCAAACTGTTTAATAAAGAAAATATATTTCAAAATGCAAACACTTAAAGAGTTATTTTTTCTTATAGAGCAGGTCATAAGTTCAACTCTTAGACAAACCAGATGTTCTGTGTAAGCGGGTAGGGTTGATGAGATTTGTAATGCAACAGAGACTTGGATTAACTTTGAAGAAATGCAGCATACAAATGTGATCGTCTACATATCTTGCCAAAATTGAAAAGTTCTATATGACAATAAATGTTTAAATAAACTCAAATCATATGTAAACATATAAGCTTATAAACCAGATCCTATGTAAACAATTAAGCTGAGTAACAATGTTAAAAGTTTAAATCGTTCAGAAACTCTAGTAACGGACACGTTCATTGCACATCCTAACCAGATGAATTTGCTATCAAAATTAAGTTGTAATTACAAATATAAATACTTCCAACAACCCTCCTCTCAATGGCCATATTGACGGAAAATCTCAATCGAATGGGACTCTATTATCACGATATCCTCAATCTCAAAGAAAACTATTTCAGGCTTAAATCTAAATTAAAATTAAAATAATTAAAAAAAATTACAAAATTTAAAACATTTAAGCAAAATCTATGTCTTCAATCATAACGCAGCTATCCATCCATCATCACTAATAATTTATCGATGGGGACAAATTTAAGATAATTTAAACTTAAAAAGAGCTAATGTCATATAAGTGTACATTTATGATTACTCTCAAATAATTTATGCAGTAAGAACACGGCGAGTGTACTCTTAACTAGTTATTCGTTGTCATAATATTAATAATTCATGATTATGACCAAGGCCTTATGATCAATTGGTTTGCCATAAAAAAGAAATTATTAAGTTACAACCATAACTAAATCCCGAAAATTATACAATGGTTCTACCTTTCTTGAGTTGTGAACCCTAGTGCAAAATTCCTTATTAGCTACGATTGACTTGAAATTGTCCCCACATAAATAAATATCAACTCAAGGTGAACTTAGATGATGCAATTCATGGTTAATAACAAAGATAATTAAGTATGACTAGGTTGATTACCTCTAGCTAAATAGATAAAGGTTCATGACAAGAAGATGAAATTATAAGATCTTGATCAAATTCATCATCATTTCCCCAACTATCCTTTGTATGCTAACAAGAGTAATTTTTTTCAATTCTAAACCCAAATCAATGGTACTATAAACTACGCATGTAGTGCCATTCAAATAGAATTAATTGAAATTTCCTCTTGTAATCATAAAAGATAATTTATCATAGGAACTTGTACCTATAGGAATTCCCACAAAAAAATTATAAAATTCTAGCAAAATGAGGGAAATCTTTGAGTAGTGTATCATTTGATATCTAATCCATCCCCTAAAAATTTAGCCTAGAACACACTCTCATAGAAGAATTAAATGTAAATTTTTTAAGCCCTTTAAGTATTTCGAGAACTAATTGTGTTGATGCCAGTCTTGATTTAATTACTAGATTATCTTCATTAATGGTTGGTCTCATTGCACAAGGTTATTTTTTGATAGTTGTTCCCCAATTTTTTGACAAATTTGGGTTGAAATTCAAACACAATTTGGCATTTATGTTCAGATTTTATACAGTGAAAACTCTATTGATAATGCATAGGAATAACTTTCTACTTCCAAACGTGCACCACTTTAGAAAGCATCCTTTATCAATTATCATTTTCCCATACACAAAAAATGAAGAAGATGAATGCAAAAAACTTCCACTTTATTATGATTGCATGACTTAGTCATGTTCCACCTTATTTTTTAGGAAGTGATACTTGTTATTTAATCAATTGCATGATAGCTTTAATCTTGTTTAATCAAATTCCTCATACTATTCTCTTTCTTAACCAATATATGCGTTCTCTTTTGTTATGTTTTGAGTTGAACATGTTTTGTTCATAATTTTATTACATGGAAGGGTAAAATTTTAAGTTTTATTTTTGCCCTTTAATTGCATATTTTTTAGCTACCCTCTGCTTCAAAAGAGATGCAAATGTTGCTCTCCAGATAGTGATTGCTATCTTCCTTAATAGATGTCACTTTCTTTTAAAATTTGATATTCTTCTTTTAATTTCATGTTGAACACATTATAATATTCATTTCATTCCCGACCTTAGGCCACCCACTAATCCTAAATCCAAAACATGCGGTTGCTTTTATTCATCAACTTTGAGTCTATCATCCACGTTCTACACCATGACCCGTTGGCCATGAAGAAGTAATAGATAATCACCTCATACTCCAACATACTTAAATGCCACAACTCTACCTCATGTTGACTCGCCTCTTATTGCTTTGAATACTTAGAAGGAAAGGATGCATTCCAATCAAATGGTAGTTGAAGTTGGTTCGTCTGCCTCCAGATTAATATTTTGTTGGTTCTCATTGGATTTACAACGCCAAGGTTGGTCATCTTAAGGCTCGCCCTGTTGCCAAATGCCGTACTCAAAACTTTTTGGTTTGTTTCATGAGATGTATTCGCATTTTGTTTGACTTTCTTATATATGTTGACATGCATTATTAGCATACTCATCAGATGGAAATTAAAAATGCCTTTATATATTGACAGCTCATAACAAAGTTTATATGAAGCAATTTCTTGGCTTTGTGCCTGAGGGGATTCGAAAATTGTAAATAGGTTGAGATGATCCCTTTATGGCCTTAAACAATCTCGACACACTTGGTTTTAACAACTTAACATTCAAAATGATTGGCAAATCTATTTGGTTGCTTATATTGAAGGTATTTGTTAATATATCATTTCTCGAATCATTTCTGGACAAAACAATTTTGAACTTAAGTATTATCTAAGTATTGAGGTGGCTTAATCGAAGTATTGGTGATAGTATTTCAAAATGAATGCACTAAATATTCTAAAGACAAAAAAGTTGGACTGTAGACCTATTGAGGCTCTAATAGATCCGAATTGAAAGCATTTACCAGATCAAAGTAAATCTTTATCATATCCACACAGAATACTTGTGGGAAACTAAACTATCTCACGATTCTTCAACTGAATATTTCATTTGTTCTTAAGTGTAAGCAATCAATTTCTACAATCAGCATATGACAATCATTTAATTTTGCGTGTTGAATGTTCAGATATATTAAAAGGGCATCATGCTAAGGCTTACCATATGAGAAAAAAACAAACTTGAGTAATTGACTAAATTGTTGCAGAACAGGTAAAATTTCCTTTACATAAGCTTCTATGACAACATATTGTTTTCTCAATTTGGTGTCATAGAAGAGTAGCAAACATATTCTCAAGTTAATATGTTTGAATAATTTGCTGCAATTATTAAAATTTGGTGAAATAAGCCAAATAAAGTTGAATTACGAAAATCATATGAAGTTGATTTATGCAATCAAGCAATGTTGCATAGTCTCCAACCAAGTTTTTCATGAGAAAAATACAAAACATTGGGATTGATTGTCATTTCAGCATAAAAAAATTTCTTTCCAGGTGCATTTGCCATTGTTTTATCAACTAAAATTATCATCTAGCATATATCTTCACTCAATATCTCATAGATCCTCAAATAAATTACATTTGCAATAAGCTTATGACATGATTATGTGCTATAGCTTGGCAAGATAGGAATTATAGATAGTGTTTATAATAGTACTTACTTTTATTTACTGTTTATTTGCTTTTTATTAACTGTTAGTATATGTTATTTGAGGTTTTATCTGTTTCTTATGTCGGTCAAAATGAGAAATACATGTTACATTTGCAATAAGCTTATGACATGATTATGTGCTATAGCTTGAAGGGCAAGATAGGAATTATAGATAGTGTTTATAATAGTACTTACTTTTATTTACTGTTTATTTGCTTTTTATTAACTGTTAGTATATGTTATTTGAGGTTTTATCTGTTTCTTAAGTTGGTCAAAATGAGAAATACATGCCCCCTCTATTTTTACATTATGAAAAGAAAGATTGGCGGAAATTTAAAGTAGGGTAGTTTGTGATATGGTATAGAATTTTTATAGCTTTCGAGCACCATATTAGCTTTCATGTAACTCACCATAATAGTTGAATTATTCTCACTTTAGAAAAATGTCATCCTTAACATTCACAATTAGCTAACAATCAAATATATCTGAATAGAATTGTCTCATATTAGCCTCTTTTCCCGTATGGCTTACCTTTTTTAACATTTATTCCCACTGAATTTTAATCATAACGATTTGTTCGCTTCTCAACTGTCTCACATCATATGTCAAAATACGATCAATTTTTTTTCTATGAGTTAGATTAAATTGTATCTCAATATCACCCTCTGGAACTTTATGTTCAACATGACATCATGCACATTTGAGATACGATCATGTAGGAATAATTTGAATCATAAGTGAGGAGAACAAGGTGACAATAATTAAACAGGGTGGAAGCTAGTTATTGACGAAATGCTTCCAAATTTGAAGGAACGCGGACAAAGGAAATATAATTCCATTTTGATTCTCAAGGGGTTGAGTACCTAACTAGAATTTATGATTTAAATTTTCAAGAAAGGTTTCATCAATATGATACAAAATAAAAATATACCAGTAAAATGAACAGATAGAGCTAACCTTTCTCTCTCATTTTTCTCTCTCTGTCATATTCAAACTTGTCACGAATTTGCCTGACATTTTCCCAAGTATCAGAAGATCTAGGTCCACCAAAACTATGATCCTGTAGCCATTAACAGACGAAAAAGATAAAGTCATAGTAGGTTTTGTGAACAGAACGCATGTGATTTTTGAATACGCAGCTAAAAGTTAAAAGTAAAATATGACTGGATTAAGACCATGCTGCTGCTTCAAAGTTGAGAATATAACTCTCAAAAGGCGAACATTAACTTTAAACACGAATAATATAATAACCAAGGAATGCATACCATCATAAAGCTTACAAATCTTATGAATTACTAGGAAAATAAAAGGTATAGACAAAATTATCAAAAAAGACATGTATAGCTTATTTCAGGAAGCTTATATTCCACCGATTATGATTCATGAAAATTTGGAAGAAAAACAATATTTCTTCAGACGCATTAAAATTTAGAATTAATCTTGTTATGAACAAATGGCTTTTTCTTGCCTTTTCTTTTCACATGATGTTTGACAGGAGTTTTCCAATACAACCAAATGAGGGCAAAAAATCTTAGGCTTGATAAACTGAAGAAGGGCAGCACCATGCATGAGCCAACGTCACAGAAAGAAGAGCTAGTTATGCTTACCTTCTATCTGTTACTAAAAAAATTGATTTCTACCTTCTTCCACGCATTGTGAAAGCATACTAAGGCAATCTCGTTCCACAACTTCTGATCCATAATGATGTTTATAAAAGCCATCCAGAACAATAGTGAACAGAACTCTAGCTTCTTTCTCCAAAGAACGTTAAATTTTTAAATTTGATTGACTTCAAAATCTGCATCCCACATTCTTCAGAAACTATCCAAGCACGGCAACACATCTAGATCCACTAGTGATCATATTCAACTTTGTTCTTCATGGAGATAGAAGCAAGTAGCAGACCAGCATCCCCCTCACACAAGCCCTTCCTTACATTACACATTCAGCATTTTTATAACGTTTCAGAAAAGGAACAATTGGTTCTACTCTACCCCTCCTCAATCTTATTTGGGAAGGCCTTTTCTTGAAAAAATAAAAAATAAAAACAAATTAAGAAGATGAAGAAAATAGTACATGACCGATTTCATGAAAAATAAGCCAGTCATTGAAGATCAAAAGCATATTATTCCATCCATCTGGTGTTTATAACTAACGTTAGTATCATCAGTTACAGCTTTGAGTAGTTAGTTAAACAGAAGTAAGCACTAGTCATCCAGTGATTTATCACTATGGCACCAAATATAAATAAGTCCTTTCATTCAGAAAATTCTACAACAAGTGCAAATGTACCCGAGCAAAGCAGTAATGCCAATTCTAGAACAAGTGAAAATTCTAGTCATTGGAGTTCAAAAGCATACTAGTCCCTCCATCTCGTGTTTATCAACAACTGTAGCATCATAAGATACAGCTTTGAATAGCTAATAAAACAGAAGCAAGCGCTAGTCATAGAGAGATTTATCACAATGGCACCAAATATAAATAAGTCCTTTCATCCAGAAAATTCTAGAACAAGTGCAAATGTGCGTGAGCAGTAATGCCAATTTTTTGAAGTCCCCAGCAAACTTGAAGCTAATTTGCCCCTTCAAAGTTAGCCTTAAAGCATACGCAAAAGAGCAAATGAAAATTATGGTTTTAACTATTCACAATGATGACAATCAATAAGTACTGGTTGCATAATGATATAACATGCGGAGAGTTAAATCTCAGACATCTGCACCAAAAAATGTATTTCCTGAAAATAGTTGGCTAAAAGGGAAGCAGTTAACATGCAAAGTTAACAGAAACAGAATAAAAATACACTAGCCCCAAACTTGTGGGAAAGAAAGCAATTAGAGTTGAAGAAAATTCACAACAGTACACCTAAATATAAAGTGATTATCCAGTAATGTGCAAAAAAAAACGTTGTAATTGATCCGTTGCCAGAGAAGGAATTCCTAATAGCTCCCCCAGCTCAAATTAGAAGTGCATAAAGAAACCAAGTAGATGGAGAAATACAAGAAATCCAACATGTTTGGGATTTAAGAAGCAGATCATTCCAAAAATAATGTTAAGTAAAATAGTTTGAGTTTCAATATAACAAAAGCTGAAATTTCACTTTTAACATGCATATTAAGATAGGGCAAGACATTTTTATCTATTACATTAGCATATGATGTTTTCATCTTTCAAGCATTTTATATCTATTAAAATTAATTCTGGTTAACTGATATACGGTGGATGTGCTAGACGTACTGCTAACTTAGAAGCAAAGAGAGAGCTCTGAGGGGAAACACGATATCGAAGTAGCCATACAGAAGTATATTTGAAGGACTTGTACGTTAATAGAATGAGTTAAGTGCCAAAACAGCCCCTTGAATATTTATATGGAGCCATTTTAATCCCAAAGTCTATAAAAGCACCAAACTAGACCCAAACTATTTTAATATGGGCAGAAATAATTCCAAATAAGGCTATTTTAACCCCTTTAAATGAGTCTGGGACAAAATTGATACTTCTATAGACACTACGACTAAAATGACCACTAACAAAGAGTAAGAGAGCTATTTTGACACCATTCTCTTAAACAGAGGAATACATAATATGAAAAAATTCAACGTGTACTAAAGCGGTTCA